AGAATAAACTAGTTTTATTTGAGAAAGGACTTGTATCGCTGAAGTTCTTTGGAAATAATTTTTACGAGTAATTAACTTCTCAATAAAACTTTGCAATACACTTAATTTCCACAGTCACTTAAACACACGCTATAATTCTCAACGAATGATTCACGCGTTTGACTCAAATGTCCGTCAATATCTTCAGTCTCTCTGTCCGCTGTTCAATTCCGATTCATTGTCTGGCGCACTTATATACAAGAATATAGAGCGCCTAGCAAATACTGGATTATTCGTGATGTTCACCGATCTTTTTAGAACTCATTACGTGTTACCAGGGTCACGTGACTTCCGCTGTCGTAACAATAATTTTAAACATAGTATCACATAATATCCACGTCCGCTTAATAATATTGTTGTCTAATAATGATACAATGAAGTTGACCGTTTAAACACCGAAATACTCGAAACTAACAGACTTAAAAATTAAATAATTACAGGAAGTACCCTGTTACGTAACACTTAAAGCTTGTTTATTGTCAGATATGTAGAGTATAATATTGTTACGACAGCGGAATTCACGTGACACTGGTAACACGTAATGAGTATCTCGAATGTTCCTGAAGGCTCGAGTGTTTGCCAGACGCCCTCTATTTTGTATATATATGACCGGCAAGAAGTGACGGGAGGGTGAATAATTGCAGACACAGAGATACTGAAACAGATAATCGAGCCAAGTCGTAAGTAAAGTGCGTGAATCGTTGTGAATTCTAGCGTGTGTTTAAGTTAAAGTGACTGTGGAAATTAAGTGTATTGCAAAGTTGTATTGAGAAAGAATAAACTAGTTTTATTTAAGAAAAGACTTGTATCGCTGAAGTTTTTCAGAAGGGATTTTTTACGGTAAATTAACAAACGACCAGAGACGTAACATTATTTATTGCTAACCTGGTATCATCAGGTACAACAACTAGTTAACTTGGTGAAACTATAAATATTATGCTCTGTGTATCCGACAATAAACAAGTTTTAGGGCCTAAAATTTTTTTATAGAACCAAAATTAACTGCAGATGATTTATTTTCGTCCAATTGCGGCTTACCTTTAATTTGAGCTTCAAATGACAAATTAAGAAAATTCTGGGGGAAAAAATATCTGCAGTTAACTTGATTGTTATAAACAATACTGATGAGTGAAACGAAATCAAAGCTGAACAAAACAATAAAAGAACATTGACAAACGTGTCGTGACAGGTCTCGATAATTGGAAGGAGAGGCTAAGCTTTGGTCGGTGCCAAGAACTCATCTAACGTGTGATTATAAAAAAAGGATTGACACAATGGAAACATCGGGTTGATAGATGAACTCAAAACCAAGAGAGTTCACTAACCAACCAAATCTAATGTTTTCGGTCTGTAGATCATTTTATTATTTTGTCAGGCTTTAATTTTGTTTTGTAACAAACGTATATTCAATTCGTATGTTTATGTTACCTGTTTTTATTTGCGTTTTAGCTTTTAACAGTTTATTAGGAATGACTACTTTCACAGAAATGGGTGTAAATAATAGGACTAAAGCATCCACATTTGCTTCCAATTAATCAGTTCTAAATTTTAATTTATATTTCTTTCACACAAGGCTTGAGAATATAGCTTATATCTAATCAGTTATACTTGTCACAATACATTAGTATTAGGGCTATTATATATATATATATATACATTTAACATTGCATTCTTTATCTAGTCAGTTAGGGATTTCCAAGCATTGGAAGAGTACACAATAACAGTATTCCAGTCACACCATGTTTGTCATATTTATCGTCGACGATGAGTTCAACTCAATCAGAACTTGTATCTGATATGTGTTGTACCCTAACCGCTAGGTGGATCCAATTTTTAGCTATCTGGTGGTTTTCACAGGTAAGCTAAAACGTCGCAATATAGCAGATTCATAAAGGTGACTGTGAAAAATGAAACGACCATATAGAGCAAAAATAAATAAACAAAATAAAACATTCCTGCAGAACAAGCAAATTAAATTTGTATTTGTACGAAAAAACCTTTTCTTCTTCTTCTTCTTGTTATGTGGCTGATTTCTCAGTAAAGATTGTGTCACTGCATATATATATGAAGATGGTTTGAGAATGACTGCAGGCCATAAACGATTCTGTTAGCACCATAGGTTTTGTTAGAATAAAGTCCTTCTGCGGTATCCCAGAGTTCTATGTTACCTACTTTAATGATAATTTTTATTACATTTAAATTAAGAGAGATTAAACTCCCAGCACTTTGGCCAAGCTACGCTCAATGGTTAGCGTGCAAGACCGCTGATTTCAGGTTGCTCATGTCTAATTACCGCCACACACACAAATAAAGAATCCACTCTGTACTTTGGGGCTGCGAATGTGTTACAAGGATCATGTCTAATTACCGCCACACACACACAAATAAAGAATCCCACTCTGTACTTTGGGGCTGCGAATGTGTTACAAGGATCATGTCTAATTACCGCCACACACACACAAATAAAGAATCCCACTCTGTACTTTGGGGCTGCGAATATGTTACAAGGATGGTGGTCAAATCTAACTATTCCGTCTCAAACGAGTTGGCAGAAGATGATGCCAACTTCCTGCTTTCACTCTAGTCTGTCAGTTCAAAATTAGGAACAGCTGGAGGAGATAGCCCTCGAACAACTTTTTTTGCAACACTAATTGATAAACAAATAAACCCAGTTCCTATAAGCCCTGAACATAGATTTTGTGGCAACTATTGTGGGCAACCTGTAAATCTAACCATAACGCATTTGAAGTGCACTAATTCAGAAAAAGAAAACTTGTCAGCTATATATTATATCATTATTCCATATCCTGACCTTAAAGTCTGACATTCGTGACTTGTGTTCCATAGGGTTGTTTGTAAAAAAAATATCAAAAAAATCTTAGAAATGAAGCATCATTAGATAGAGGGGAAACTTCCATGTTAGTAGAATAAAATTCCATCAATGCATGTGATTGTGGGTAAAAATGATATCGAAATGTATTTCAAAGTAAAATTTCCTGTGAATTACATAAACAGTCGTACTCCACGTGACAGAGTATTGTAGTTCAATTAACATAAAACG